TGTTCTAAGATAGAAGCCAGGTTTGAGTCAGGGCACTTCTCGATCGAAGAGAGAGTGACAACTATAGGTTTAGGGTTGGAAAGCTTGTAATAGGAGATTCTTCAACAACAAGCTGATGGAACTCAAGTAAACTTGATAGCGGAATTGTTGATTTGAGAATGATGGGGAGAGAGTGTGATACCCCTCGGATCCGAGACACGGGTTGATCAGGCCCAGGCCCAAACCCGGGGAATATCTAACAATTAATATTTAATAATGAACACGGAATACAAAACGAATTAAGAGATGAAATTAAAGCTGAAAGGAACTAAAAATAGAATCAGCAAAATAATATAATTATTAAAATCCATCAAACCCAAACTCCAAAACTCCATCAATTTACAACTCGGGAATCCATCTCTAGTGGACCCCTATTAAGCATCCAAACGAAAAATAAAGCAACTGTAATAAGCATCTAGAAATAAACTATGGAGAGAATCCTACATCGTCGGAAGAGTGAATAGAGACCTCTGCTCAGCACGAACACGTCTAAGCCTGGAACTGTCGTGTACTTGAAAAATAGAAGTGGGTCAGGCCCACGCGTAAGTTCTATACTACTACAATCCAAACAGAGGCCCGATACGCATGTACATCCTAAACAATTTAACAATAGCTAATAGTCCGTAAGTGTATATATATATATCGTCACACTAAAGGACTCTCACTGGACTACAGGCCGGTCTCAACCTGAATAGAGGTAACATGCTAAAAACGCACACGAAGTAGGCATGTGTACCTAAACCTAAACAGGGTACACCTCTAACCATCGTATCCAGCTATGCATCTTAATGCATATACGCTCCCTAACCGTCGATCCTGAGACTCAAGCTCATATCGAGGTATCATAATAATATATTTAAAATCCATCCTGAATCCTAGTAGTGCCGCTCAACTAGTTGTTGCCATGACACTACAATCAATAGGACTTAACTTTTAGTTAATCCAATTCTTAATCCAGAGTCGGTAGGTTTTGGTTCTTTCAATCCAAACCGCCCTTAGTATACCACCGTCCTATACCGGTGTTTACTATCCAATCATCCAATAGTTGATAATATCAACAATTAAAGTAAACATCGACTAAATCCATACATCCCACACTTGATACCAACAGTAATAATGTAAGGATCGATAAGTAGAGTACAAGTATATACATAAACATGTTCAGTACATACAGTTCCATAAAATCTGGTGTACTATTAAGTTTAAATCTTAATAACATTCAACAGCCAGCAGTTAATATTACAGATCTCAAAGTAACTATCAACTAAGTTCATAACTCCAATAATTGACACAACTGAAATCATGGAAACATTAAGAACAGAAATACTGTAAGCATATAGACATATTTAATCTATAGTATTTCCTCAAAATCCAGTAATACTAAGTTGGTTTAATTCTTAATATTATTCCAGGTTGGTTTAATTCTTAGTATTATTCCACACCAACTCATTCAGAATAGTTATCATTCAGATACATGATCATGATATACAGTTAAGCATGTTACAATTATATCGTTCGTCTCAGAAGACTACTAATCTGAGAGTTAAACATTTCTAACTTTCCAATTCCTAAACATAGTGAAACTGTTTGATTAATTCCTCACGGTCCAAACTGTTTTAAGCCCTTAGACCACATCTGGAGCCTTAACCTAACCATATACATCCATTAGACCTTTCATATTAAATCCTGAACTCAACTGGAAACTTCAGAAGCAACCATTGCATGCAAAACTGACTGGAACAAAGAAAAAAAAAAAAAAAAATGCACCAAAGGAGACGTCTCCAAAAAGTGGAGCCGCCTCCTTTAGACCTTGGAGCCGGCTCCACTTTTTGGAGCCGCCTCCACATAAAAAGGGAGCCGGCTCTCTCCAAGGGAGAGCCGGCTCTCTCCCTCTCTGTCTCGTTTCTTCGCCCTCCGTCTCCGTTTTACGCCTCTGTTACTTCACCGTCACAATTTCCAGAGGCTGTAACCCAATCCCAGTACATTCCCAATCCATGCGTAAGTCCAGTTAACATTACATACATAGCTTTAAACAGAGATTTATGCAAGCAACCATCATGTTTTAATAGTTTTACAAAACATAAAAACATACAGATAAAGTTCAGTTTAAGCACGAACAGAGAATGGTTTAATTGATTCAATTAATCCTAAAACTGTTTAAGAATGCAAAGAACATGAAACCTAAGGGAGAGAGTGAGGATAGAACTTGCCTTACACCGACGTTCGTCCAAATCGTCCGACGAATCCTCTATTTACTTTCTGTTTTCCTCCCAGCCGTCTCTAAACTCTTTGTATCTTACTGTGGCGTAATATCCTTCTAAAAACCCTAGGCAGACACCCTAGAGGAGTATTTATAGGCCACATTAATCCTAGACTCTCTTAAACCCTAAGTGGATTTGCTCGGCCCATAGAGAAAACTAGGTTAAATGCACTGTCGGTTGTGAACTATGATTCTAATTTATAACCATCCATGTATAACCTTCCCTACAGCCACGTTAAAATAGAAACTAATTTAAACTAATAATGAAAACTATCAATTAATTCAAATGAAACAAATAACAACAATTAAAGCAAATAATTCCCACAACTAAACAATTAACCAGTAAAATTGCAAACAAACAGTTAAACAATAAATAAATAAAAACAATCAAAACAAATAAAACAGAGTTACAATTAAATCACAATTAATTAATGCCAACCAATTCATCATTTAAACAAAAAAAACTCAACTTAAACAATTAAATAAATTTCCAGGTCTATCCTTTTAAATTAGGGGTATTACAGAGAGCGTGTTGGAAATTGGAGATTGAGATCTTCCTTTCTATGGACTACGTAAAGGCAGCTAACCCGCTGTGACGTATTTCTTTAGATAGAGAGAATTCGAATCCATTCAATAAATGCAAGTGAAAACTCCTCTGTTAGCCCTAGTTTTGACTCTCTCTCCTCTTTCCAGTAGTCAGATGATCTCCGAATTACAGGTTAGTTTAGTGCAATGGAACAACTTCAACAGCCTGCCTTCCAGCTGCATAAGATTAGAATCGCCCCGCAGTACGTTGTGGACTTGTCCTTACTTGAATGAAGCAGAAGCCTGAGGCTGAGGTCAGAATCTTCGAGCAGAAGTTCGAGCGGATCAACTCCTTGGTTGGCTGATAGTTGAAAGTTTTAGAATTGGTATTTCGCTTTTTGGTTAGCGTGAAATCCTGATCCGAGCAAAGCTGAGCTTCAACGGTGGGATTAATTCCGAAAGTAATGATGACACTGGGTTCAGTTTCTCCTTTTTCCTCTGACCAACAAATTCAACCTGCTAGCTTTGTCTTTTGATCCGAGAGGTCGGTTTTTCTATTGAGACTTTGTTAACTGCCAACTGCCTCGAGCTAATGTTCAAATGAGCTACGGCGGCACTGAAGTAAGCCATAGGCATGAAGCATCCTAGAGCTGGCTATTGTTCCTTCCGAGCCAGGATCAAACTATGATTTAGAGTAGGGAAGCTTGGCTTTCCTCTACCTATACGGGTGATTCGTAGTAGTTCTCCTTCTATCTTCTCGAACAACCCCATCAAGAAAACATTGCAGTTATAGCAGGGGTTCCTTAGTCACAAGCCGCAGGAAATCAATCTTTTGGGGCAACCGCCCTTAGATAGGGCTAGAAAGTTGTTTCCAGCTATCTACAAGGTGCATTGAGGAGGTTTTTTTTTTTGAAACCGTACGGTGCTGTGTTAACAGGGACTCTTTCATAGACTCCGGCTCTCTTCTCTCGGCACTAAGGCAGGGAAGATCCTGGAAAGAACTCATTTTCTATTTCTCTTACGGAATAGTTGTTCAAGGGTACTTAGGGCATGGCACTACTGGCCGCTAGTTCCGACTAAGATAACTGATCGTTAAAGGGGATCGGGCGGGTTTCGAGCGAAGTCAACCAATCACAAGTAGGTTTTTTCAGGCAAGATTTGAACCGTAGATATATCGTTGAAATTCAATCTCATTCTCTTAATCCATCGTTGCGGCTTTCCGTTCAGAAGTTCAGCGCTTAAAACCCCTTGCCTTATGAAGACAAGCACCTGAGGACCTTCGCTTATTCAGTTCAGATCGTTCCAAACCTTCCTTACAAAGTTCCTCGACATCACATCCATCAGTAAACCCATGGAGCTCCCAGCTAATAGAGCCGAAAGGACTCGCTGGGGAGTCGGTAAATGGCGGGCTAAGATCTTATCCTAACTTGAACTCTTGGAGAGCCCTCTCAATGAATTGTGCAGTCTTGCTTGTTGAGATGGCATAAGCTCTATAGATGGGTCATAATATTCTTCTTTGGGATCTAGTTAGTCCTTAATCGAACCTTCTCACACGACCCACCAATATTGGAATCGTTTTCACAAAAAAAAGGAATGCACCTGTCTGATCGCTAACCAATTGTCGAAGACGAAATTAGGAGATGAATCACCAAAGTCTGCTAATTCGCTATCTATTTGTCTGCAGGGATGGCCGAGCGTCAACCCATCACTAAAGCGGAAAAGATGAGATATTCTGGGCATAGCATTACTGGCTCTAGCTCTTGGAACAACTGTCCGCTTGGTTCAACTCAATTTCTTTCAAAAGCCGCCTATATCTATATAGGGAGCGAAAGCCAGAGGCTTGGTCTTCTTTCGTTGAAAGCTTGATCTCCCTCCACAGGTAGAGACAATAAAGATTTACGTAAGGTTAGCCCTCTCTAGTCTAACAAGCGCGTACCAAGCCACTCGAGGGTAGGCCAAGCAAGCAAAACATCAATTGAAAGAGTAGTCCGTTGAAGAAAGAATGACCTCTTCCTAGTAAGGAAAGAGGCCTGTTATGAAAGATCAAGAGTTGTTGGCCCCAAGAGAGAACACAGCTACAAGAAGAAAGAAAAATGGAAATGGAGGATAAATATTAGGTTGAATGCTCTTTTCTCTACTCACACATGAGCTCAAACAAATGTGAAAGTCGAGATGTTTAACGAAGTCGCTGTGAAATGAAAAAGAAAGATCCAATTTCAATGAGATTTGCACTAATATAGAAGGGAGATATATAGAAATATCTATATACAATGCAAAAAGTAAAATTATGGTTAATTTCTCTCTTGCGTGTAAAGGCTAAATTCCAAGAAGAGCGTTTCAACTGCATCTGCGTCTGTGCTGCTTTTGATTCAATTGACATGCTCTGCAATGATGTGCAGTCGTCTGCCCCCAAAATACGTAAATTTACTGGAAGGCTTGGAAGTGATTCAAGCAGAGTACATTTGTTTACACAGAGATACTCCAGTAGTGGAAGGCTAGTGATGGTTGCTGGTAGGTTAGAAAATTTGTTTCTGCTAAGATTCAAAGATTCCAAAGACACCAAACTACCAATTTCACTGGGCACATTTGTTATATTGCAGTTTTCCATAGATAATTTCCTGATGCTACTTGACAATTGTAACGACGAAAAGCTTGATTCAGGTGGCGATCTTCGAAAAAATGCCGGCCACTCTAATTTAGAACAACCGGAAATATTGAAATGAGCGAGAGACTTCAACATGAAAATACTTTGGGGAATCTTCTTAAGATTCTTGCAATTATTCAGATCCAAGACAATAAGATCTTCGAGACGTTCAATAGATTGGTGGACTTCTACCAGCTTTGTACAATCAGTAAGCAACAATTTCTCAAGACCGGTGAGCCCCGTGAAGTCCAGAGTTTTCATCAAGAGATAGGAATGACTGAGATTGAGGTATTTCAATTTGCACAAAACCTGTTAGGAGCAGAAATAGACAATAAATTTTCAAGCATGTCATTGTATAAATTAAGTAGTTTGAAGCAGATGATTAAAAAAACAATAATATCAATCATCATACCTTTGTTCCTTTCCAAACTTGTTTGAGTTTACTATAGCTCAAGTCAATGGGAACCAGATTATCCATAATTAAGGTTCGTGGTATACATTCTAAAGAAAATCCTTTCCAAGACAGCCATACAAGTCTTTTAGAGAGATGTTTGTAACTTCCACTTACTTGGACATAATTGAAATGAAGCAATCTCAAGCTCTTCATCTTTGTAAATGCCTCCGCATTTACTTGTAACTCTTCTGATTCTGGCAAGTTCAGGACTAAGCCCAGAATATTCTCTGTCCCCTAATGACAATAACAGCTGTATAAATAAGTATATATGTGTGTGTGACATTGAATTGAAAATAAAGTCACATACCAGATTGTGAGACTTTCATGATGTCTATGGCATTTTTATAATGACAAGTTATGTAATTAATTTAGGCATTGGGCTCTTACCGTGTCATATCTTAGTAGATCAAGAATGTCTTTATGATACCACAATCTATTACGTTCGCCAGGCTTTGTAGGGGATTCTTGATAGACGATCTCTTTTGCCATGTCTTGAATCAGATCATGCATCATCAGTTGGTTATGCCGCCGATCGATTCTTACAATGCTTACAAGACAACGATCAGATAGAATGTCAATATCAATATCTGGGTAGAAATCGCAGTCTTTTAGTATTTTGATGGCCAAATCTTGGTCCATTCCAACAAAAAAACATGCAATATCCAGGAATAAACCCTTCTGTTTATCATCAAGTGAGTCAAAGCTCTGCCTCAGTATATCTTGAACTTTTGGATCAGGAATCTTTTTCAACTTCTCCAATTGAGCATGCCATTTAGGTACCGCTTTACCCGACAATAAAGAACCTAAAGTAGTAAGAAGTAAAGGAAGTCATTTTACATAACACACTACTGTGTCAGAGAGGCTCTCATAACCTTCTAGAGGACAGTCTCTTCTAAAGGCAAGGCAACTGAAGAGTTGAAGAGATTCCTCCTTATTCAACTCCTCAAGATTATACACATCATCCACTTGAAGTGACTTTATTGCAGACAAATCTCTAGTTGTTACTACGATTCTACTTCCGGGACGCAACCAATTACGATTTATAGCCAAAACACTCAATTGGCTGTCATTATCCACACCATCGAGAACAAGAAGAACCCTTCGACGCCATGCTCGACATTTTCTCACCTCAATTCCATGATCCCCGCATCTTATTTTCTCATTTTCATCATTTAGGAGATCTGACAGAAGTTGTTTTTGTAATTTAACAACATTGTCGATATCCCTAGAAGTTCGTCCAACATTATGAAGAAAGCTAGTCCTTTCAAATGGATGAAAACGATGTATGCGATTATACAGTACTTTAGCAATGGTAGTCTTACCAATTCCACCAATCCCCCATATGGCAACAATCCTAACATCATTACTAATACTATTTGACCCCAACGTTAGAAACTTAGTCACTTGTTCAACACTATGCTCTATTCCAACTTGATACTCTGGATCACTTAAGCCCGTAGGATTTAATTTTTCTGCCACTCCTCCAATAACGGACTTAATACACGTTGACTCACACCTATCCAATTTTTATTGTTAAGAAAAAACAAAAATTAAAAAATGAAATTAAGCAAATTTACATACGGAGAGGTGAAAATTCAAAATACAGAGACATCCAATGCGTTAAAATGCTTTTTTTGAAGAGAATAAAGAGATTTAAGTACCCGTTGGCCACATTTTGCAAGACATAACCGGACAAATTGCCAGCCTTTTCTAGAGCTAACCTCCAAATTTCCACCTTTTTCAAGTCAAACTCCTTTTTGTGACCGGCAAACGCTTCTGCATAACAACCGCTCTGTGATCGAACATCAGAAGGTTGGACGTCATAGAAGACGGGAATAACAATCTGATGGAGTGTCCTCTTGCAATCCATGATCTTGATAAGCTCGTCAAGGCACCATCTTGAGGACGCGTAGTTTTTCGAGAATACAATAACGGAAACCCTTGATTCCTTAATTACTTTCAACAATTCAGGACCAACTTCTTCACCTCTTGGAAGTTTAGTGTCATCACTGAATGTGTAAAAACCATGCTGATCCAAAGCAGCCAAGAGGTGACCAGTAAATGTCTTGCGAGTATCAAGGCCGCTGAAAGACAAGAAGACATCATAAACACAGGAAGCTGCCATTTTTAAAGCTCAAACAGTTTTGATCAAATCAAAGGAAATGAGAAGAGTGGAGTGGAGAGGAGAGGAGAGGAGAGGAAAGAAAAAGGAAAGGAAAGAAAAAGGTTGGGTTTTATGCTTGAGAGAGGGCATAGCTCTGACTTATATATAGATTTTTATTTTTCTTTATTTTTTTTAATTTATTTTTAACATTGCAAACACAACATCGGCAATTAGCAAGACATACAATCCTTAACTTCGAAGTCAAGAATATCCCCTGAAGATAAACATATATATCAGACAATGAGTTTCATATCCTATTTTAACAAACATCTATTAATTGAAAAGACTTCACATAATAAAAGTCTCACACGCACACTACACGTGTGGAGCCACTAATACTCGGTTTGGAAATTGGAATGTTTGCCCACTTGACTTCTTGGCCGGTAGCATCTCGAATCAACAAGAAATGTAAATGTTTTAAAATATCTCCCTCTCATAGAATAAGTAATTCTATTATAACACAAAGATTAGGGGTTATTTAGTAAAACTAAAAGTTGATTATTGAATATTTTGAAAGGTAAAATTTAACTGTTAAAATTTTAAGTAATAGCTTACATTAGGTGCACTGGTGGGATTAAATCATAGAATGAACTTATTATTGTACTGAACTTAGGAGCATGACAATAATAAACAAATATTTAAATGCAATATAAAACATAAAAGAAAGTGTGTCAAATTTAGATCAGCAAATACAAATAAAGATACTTACAAAATATTTGTTAAATTTGGTAAAACGACATTAATTAAAAGAGAACACAATTTATAATACAAAAGTAAATGTGATTTTCACTCATCGTAACAATTTCAAATACGAAATTGGATTCTTTTACTTGTAACTTCAATTCATCTTTTATGGTTGTAAAACAATAATTTTTTTTATAAGTATTTAGCTATTGCATGTTATGTATTGCACTATAATTTTTATTTTTTTTTAAATAATGTATTGCACTAAATAATCTCTTCAAAAACAAGAATTATTTTCCCTGATCATAACAATTTCAACTACTCTTCAAACACAAACTTGAATTCTCTTACAAGTAAATCCAATTCATCTCATCATATACTGTAGTATTACACATGTGTCAATTATATTGCTTAGATTATATTAATATTTTTTCTGTCTCAAAATAAGTGTCATATTCTTCTTTTTTGTCTGTACCAAAATAATAATTCACTTTTCTTTTTCAAATAATATATTTCACATTTTTTTTTATATATATCCTTTGAATTTAAAATTTCAAAATGTTAGATAATTTTTTATATTGCACTAAGGTTTCCTTTGTTTTGACGTTTATTTTTTAGGTAAAATATTTTTTTTATTTGTACTTTTCGATGGTTGATAAAGATTTGGGTCGAGTTTGATGTCGAGTCCTTCGGACTGGACGTATAAAATAACTTATTAAAAATTAATAAATAAATTATTTTGTAAAATTTTAATATATTTTTTTTTCGTAAATATTTTACAATAATCAAACATCAAAAAAATAAAAAAATATATTTAAAAAAAAATATTATACAGGAGCATAAATATTACTCTGTGTTGTCTTGATATCCACCAAGAAGATTGGGTCTATCCATTTGACTTGACATGTCAAAAACATTATGATAGCGTTGACGGACTTACCTCAGATCATAACTTCACGCGGTCATTTGGCAATAACGAAGAAAGAGGGTAGAAAGAAATAGGAAGAAAAGATTCCTTCACGCGGAAGATAGTGACTTAGCAGATAATACAATTACAATACTACCCTTTTAAAACGTATGAGGCTTTTATTAACACAGTCCGTTTAGGAATTCTTACCTCTTAACTTTTGGTGAAAGCAAAATTATAATTTTGAATTTTTCTAAAGTTGAAAGTGTTTTTTATTTTTGTAAAGAAAAAGGAAACATCTTCTATTTTTTCTAATTTTATTATTATTATTATTATTATGTTTGCTACGTTAACCATTTGGGGCATTGCTCATTCCAAATAGAAATTAGTATTATATACTTATGATACCTATTATTTGTAATATTCCAATGTTAATAATTAATATTTTTGATAGATTATATAATATTATATAATAGTGTGAATGAATTTTTTAGACAAAGAATTTATAATTATAATTATTTTTATTTATGTTATATAATAATATTAACATATTATCACACAACAGATATTTTAGAATATTATATATCATATTTATATTATTATATTATATATTGAAATAGAATGCTTATTCTTAACTATAGAAGAGGTATGATCATTTAAATATTTATGAACATTCTTATTATAACGTGATTTATCAAATATGAGAAAGAGAATGATAAGTTAGCATGTGCCTTTCATATAATCCATTCCATTATAACGCAACAATACATCGTAGTAAGTTCTTAATGCTCTATTATTCATTTGGCTTAACTCTGACAATTGTGAATAGTTTAACCGGTCGTTGGAACCTCCAAACAAATTTATTTATATATTTTTGTGTCTAAAACCATGGAACAAGCTTGGGGCGACTTGACTTTGACTCCTTGGCCCAAAATGAGCACACAAATAACTTTCTGACTGAGGGATGCTGGGTTTTATTATTATTATTATTATTATTATTTTAAGCATGGAAATTTGGGGACCAAAAGTAGTAGGATTGGTTCTCATAATAATAAATTAAAATATGTGGAAATTGTTATCAATGTTGGATAACGACTTGATTGGTTAATTCAATAAGAAATGGGAATTAGCACTCAGATTTGTTGGTATCACCCAGACGAATATAATCAAATTGTTTACTTATTCAATGAAAGAATTTTTAAGGGTGATCAGCCCAATTTCAAAATATGTAGTGGATGAATAAGAATATTGAGTCACCCGGCCTAATATCGTCCCGTTTATAGTTATAAATTATTTATAATTTCGTACTTATATTTTATTTTATATTTAATAATATTAAGTATATATTAATCAAATCTTAATCTTTAATCTATTTCAATTACTAAATATCATTCTGTATTTTATTGTCATTTGATAAGTTGTATGAGATTTTGATATTCTCATAATAATATTAAGTTTCAAGTTCTAATTAAAAAGTTAAATATTTGACAAAAATAATTGATTATTATAATTGATTTTTTTTTTATTATTTACTTTTGTTAAATTCATATATAACACCCCAACTCCAACCCCACTTAATCTCCGTCTTGCCCTATTTAATAAATAATTTTGTACAAAAATATGAATAAGTATGCTAAACCCGAATGGGAATGGGAATGGGAATGACATTCCTTCTCCAAACCACCCTTTTTCCATATCTATTCATTACTCAATCTCTGCCTTTGGAAAATTATATATACATAAAGTTAGATCCTTTTTGCAGTCATATAAACTTAAAATTTATAAATTTCAAAACAGGTGAGTTCTTTAAAATTGAGGAGGTGGACATGAAAAAAGATTGTGCATTATTTGTATGAAAGCGAAGGTAGTAATAATGAAAATTTTAGAACTTTGTGGGCTGCTTTTTACTTTTATAAAGCTGTTAGATACACCATAGGAAATTGCTTAAACATGGAATCTAGTCAATGTGGTAAAACAGAAGCCAATCACAAGAAACTGATAAAACTTTATCACCTTTCGTTTCTTTCTTCTCAATTACCATATGGATAGAGACTTTAAACACCCTCAATTCCAGAAAGTGTCAATCATCTTTAGAATTTGAGGTTTCAAAGTCGCAAACAAATTTCTCCATATGCATTTTCATCTTTTATAGTAGCTAGGAAATTACTAGCTATTTCACATGGGGCGCGTGCTTATGTCATATATATATGTATGTATGTATGTATATATATATAATATGTATGGTAGGAGGTGTATAACCTTCCAAAGTATAATATAATAACTAAAAATAACCGAAATCAAATTATGTTACTGGAAATTAATTTTCAATACGAAAATGAAAATTGCAATAGAAATTAACTTACAAATTATAATACGAAAATGAAAATTGCAATAGAAATTAACTTACAAATTACTGATAGAAGTCTGATGTGTACAACATACTCCTAGTGTATTACAACAAGAAGATGGGGAGATGGAATGAATATTACAAATGAAATTTTAGCCTATTCGAAGCCTTCCTAATAAATGGATTGACATTTGTATTTATAACCGAGCTTCTGAATTGTTGGAGACATCTTGGAGGCATCTTCGGTGCAATTTCCAGCTTTTAAAAAGATGCTTTTGACTTTTGTGACTGGACCTGACTGTAGATGAATAGTGATTTACTGTTCTTGTCGTTTGTGCCGACGATTACTGTAGATGAATAGTACTTTGTCGGGGAATTGTAGAAATAATATTTCTGCCTATAGGTACTGTAACAAATAGTATTTTTGACTTACTGTAGCAAATACCCATATGACTTGTATGACTTGGATTTAAAATGGATCTTGGCTGTCTTGGAACAAAGGATTAGAATACGGATCCTTTGGGTGACTCGATTCAGTAGCGGAAGATGCATCATCTACTTCATTATCGTCTTCTTGCTCTTGGGATATATATTGGATGCGGTCAATGATGGATGCTGCCAATTCTTTAAGTTCTGCTATTTCTGATTTGGGAGGCCTTCTGGATCAGGATGTATTCACAGAAGATGACTGCTCTGGCTTACTTTGTTTGATGACTTGGTCTTGTGCTAGATTAACTAGAGAAACTTGAGAAGGGATATGTCTTGGATATTCATCCTTGACATAACCTATAATCTTGTCAAACATGAAAGTGTCCCACCATTTGACATAATGTCGTCAAATGGCTATATTGTTCTGAATATCATATTGCCATTTGAATATCCATGGGACTTTGTACTTACAAGAGAAGAGAAGAAGAATTAGGAATTGAGAATTATGTTTGTTAACTTTGTGAACTGTATGAAAATATTTAACTTGTTCTGCAAGAGTGAGGGGAAGGATTTCTGGAATGGCTCCATGTTGTG